ATTCCTCACTCTGGGGCGGCTCTGGCCTCGTCCAGGGTCGTCCCAGGTTAGTTCAGGACCTGTTGAAGTAGATAGGGTCGCGGACTAAGATTTTTGAGGACCAGGGCTTCGCATGATGTTGCCACCTCAAGTTTCTCCGCGCGCCCTTCGTTCGGTGAGGAGTTGCAACCCCCGAACGTCCGCGACTGCACGAGATGAGCAGGTTCGAAACAGTACAGGACGTGGACGTTATTTGTCAGTGGGCACCTGGAATGTCCGGTCACTTGTGGAAAGCTCAGGCCCAATTGAAACTGCAGCTGTAACAGGAAAAGTCGTGGAGGATAAGAAAATCGAACGGGTCGTCGCGGAACTCTCGCGTCTGGCTGTGGATATTGCAGGACTTCAGGAGACACATTGGTTTGGTGAACAATCGTATCGTGTTGGTGGCTCTACTATTCTTACATCGGGTCGTCCTGTTCCTTCGGAGGACTCCAGTCGTCGACGAGGAGAAGGTGTTGCTGTCGTTTTGAATTTGAATTCAACGAACGCTTGGAAAGCAGGAGGCTGTGTCTGGAGAGCGTACAGCTCTCGCCTTGTCACCGTACGATTGAAGTTCAAAGTCCAGCGTGCTGTACGCTGGTACACTGTTATTGTGGCGTACGCTCCGACTTTCGCCAGCACTCGATCGGAGAAGGAGCACTTTTACGACTCCGTGCAGCGAGCGATTGACGACGTCCCTCGTGGTGACAGATACGTTCTACTCGGAGACTTCAACGCGCGAGTTGGCACTCGTGGCAGCCATGCTGAGCAGTCTAGGGATGAGTGGTGCACTGTGCGTGGCCCTCATGGCTTTGGGGAGATGAACTCCTCTGGAAAGGAACTATTAGATTTCCTGGCAATGAACAATGCTACAATCTGTAACACCTGGCACAACAAGAGACAAAATCTCAAACCAACCTGGCAACATCCTAAGTCACAGAAATGGCATTGCATTGACTACATCATCACTGGCCAGTGTGATAGGATGCTGTGCATGGATTCTCAGATCATCCCAAGTGCAGAGTGTGGCAGTGACCATCAACTGCTTTGTGCACGCTTCCTTCTTGGCACGTATCACCACTCTGTCAACCCGCAAGCTGTGCGTGTGCAACGTAGCAAGGGTCACTTCGACACGTCCAAGTTATTTCTTTCTGCCGATGCAAACAACAACCCTGATGATGGCGCCACCCCGTTGTCTGCTTATCAAGACGCGGTGTCCACTCTCGTATCAACACATTGGCGCCCGCATGATCCAATAGATGAAAAGTGGAACGTCCTCCGCGATGCTGTTGTCACTGCCGGAACGGACACTCTTGGTCAACGCAAGCGTAAACAACCTGATTGGTATGTGGACAGTGGCCCGGCTATTGAACCTCTGTTACAGGAACGGAATCGGCTGCACGCGCTCTGGCTTCAACATCAACGTCCTAGGGATCACACTGCTTTCAAACAGGCTCGCAGTCAAGCGCGTGCCGGAGTGCGGAAGGCTAAACGTGACTGGATATCATCCAAGGCAGAGCTCGCCAATGCACAAAGATTCTCAGGACGAACTGTGTGGAAATGTGTTCGTGCACTACAAACAGTCGAACAAGGCCCGACCCGCATCACAACTGCTGCGATCAACGACGAGAATGGAAATCCATGTGCATCTGCCGAAGACCAGGGCAAACGTTGGGGCCGTCATTTCTCTGGTGTTCTGAATGTGCAAAGTACGTTCAATTCCAGTATTCTTGACTGTGTTCCACAAATGCCGTGTCTGGATAGTTTGGTTGCGCCGCCTGATCTGTTGGAGTTACAGCAGGCAATCACGCAATGTCGAAGTGGCAAAGCTGCAGGTCAGTCAGGAATCCTGCCGGAGATGCTCAAAGCCTGTCCAGATCTGTTTACTGACCACCTACTGGAGCTTCTCCATTCAGTCTGGGACAGTGGCAGTGTTCCTGGCGACTGGGTCAACGCGCAGCTGGTGCCTATCCCCAAGAAAGGTAACCTTGCAGAATGTGACAACTGGCGAGGCATAGCTCTCCTCGACGTTATTGGTAAAGTGGTTGCTCGCGTCATCCAGAGCCGACTTGCTGATAAACTAGACGATGTGCTACCAGACTCTCAGTGCGGCTTCCGCACAGGACGCGGGTGTGCTGACATGATCTTTGCGGCAAGGCAACTAATCGAAAAGAGCTACGAGCATGAGCAGAAGTGTTTCTTCATCTTCATTGACCTGAAGAAAGCCTATGACTCAGTTCCGCGAGAGTGTCTGTGGTTAGTACTGCGAAAAGCTGGCGTCCCCGAGAAGCTGATCGCTGTTATCCGTGCATTCCATGACGGCATGACCGCAACTCTCCGTCTGTCGAATGTTGAAGCTGACCCCATCCCTGTGACGAACGGCTTGCGGCAGGGATGTTGCATGGCCCCTGTCCTATTCAACATCTTCATGTGGGCAGTGATGCATTGTTGGCGCCAGCACGTGCAGCCTATCCCTGGTGTAGGCGCAAAGGTCTTCTTCGAGCCAGATGGGAAGCTACTCCACCACCGTAGCCGCCGTGATAGATCCCTGGAGCTGACAGAGTGTCAGTTTGCTGATGATTCCGCTCTTGTGGCCGCGACACGCCAGGCCGCAGTTTCAGCCTTGGAGGTATTTGTGGATGTATGCAGCGATTTTGGCCTCACCGTCAGTGCCACCAAAACCAAGTTCATGGTCTCTGGCCCCAATATCTCTAACGACGATCTAGAGCCGCTCGCGATTCGAACTATGGAGATTGCCCATGTGTCGTCTTTTCGTTACCTTGGATCCAACATACACAGCAACGGACGATGTCATGATGATGTCACATCCCGGATTGCACAAGCTGCCATAGCGTTTGGCGCTCTGAAGAAATCGATATTCCACGATGTAACACTGACAATATCCATCAAACGGTCAGTGTACAATGCTTGTGTGCTGTCGACTCTGCTCTATGGGTCCGAATGCTGGGTACCGCTACAGGCTGATGTTCATGCGTTGTCTGTCTTTCATCTCCGTTGTGTCCGCACCATTCTGGGCATCAGTCGTCAAGATGTATGGAATGACAGGATAACTAATGTTGAAGTTCTGGAGCGCTGGGGAGATACCTTGGACATGGAGTGTCGTCTCAGCAGACGTCGCCTTGAGTGGCTTGGTCATGTGGCAAGGATGGAGGATGAACGCATCCCGAAGGCTCTACTGTTCGGTTCGTTTCCAAACAAGAGACCTGCCCATGGTCCGCGGAAAAGGTGGCGAGACTGTGTTCGGAGTGACGTCAAACCACTTGACGACTGGTATGAAGTGGCCACCTCTTCTCGCTCCAAATGGCGCCAGGCTTACCGTTGTCTGCCAGACAAGCAGAACAGACCTCGACCATCACCGGTTGTGTGCCAAACTTGTCACCGCTCCTTCAGTCGTGTAAGTGACAGGAAGCGACACAAGTGTACAGCTACGCGTGCCCTACCCGTAAGCCAACAGCCAGGAAGCTGTCACTGCGATCAGTGCGACAGATGGTTCCGGAGCAAGGGTGGATTTGCCCGACACAAGTGCTCGCCAGCAACATCACCAGCAGAGGCATCTTCTGACACACTTGAGTCACCGGTTACAAACAATATGTCCTGCGAACGCTGCAGCTTCCACTGCGCCCGCTGCAACCGCTGTGTGCTATCGCGCCAAGGCATGAAACGTCACAAGTGCAGCCGTGGCTCGGCCAGAGCAACCAACACAGACCGTAGCTCCTTCTGCATCGTTTGCAATTGCGGTCGGCGTTTCAGTAGACCACAGGACCTATCCCGTCATCGCCCCTACTGTTCCGAACCTGCTCAACCCCCCATGGGGTCCGCATAGCCAGAATATGGCAGCGCGTCCAAGGTCCAAGGTGTGTGCGTGTGTGTGTGTATGGTGTTTGTTGTTGTTATTGTCATCGTCGTAATTGTTTCAAGTCTTTATTCTCACTATGACCTGTTGTTGTTGTTGTTGTTGTTGTTGTTGTTGTTTGAATTCTTTATTCTTATGATGGCACCATCGCCAATATTTTGCTGTTGTTGCTGCTTAAGGAAATTAGAGGCCACATTGAAATTGCAAGTATTAGTTGTTGCTGCTGCTGTATTAAACGTCTTGCTAAACCTCCATATTGTTTTCTTCATGTACACTTGCTGCATTACAGCATGGAAAAGAGCACCCACCACACAAATACATTGCACAAAACACGAAAGACTCAGTTTGGACATAACGGAGGATTAGCAAGACGAATTTCATGTTTGAGTTCGCATTCCTCCGAACTCAGTGACAATATTCGAGAGGATTAGCAAAGACCTCGGCCTTGTACAGCTGTACGACGCTGGTTTACCGATACATGTACATGTACAAACATGTACATGACTGTACTGTTGATGACACGAATCGTGTTGAACTGTTCCGGCTGATTTTCAGAACGAAAAGCGAAAGATCATAACCGTGAAAAATCCACGGACCGATAGTGCACACTAAGTCACTAACTCGAATGTGAAATTCATGATCCTGTTTCCGAGACAGTGTTGCTCGGATCCGTACCCAATTCACCCGGATTCGTCCAACACTTACAGAATGATTTTTATCACAAAATCGAGTGGACCATGCATGAAATTCTTGCCCTTATGAATCCGGCCATGGATGCAACAGAAGTATCAACGCCTCCATGTCAAAACAAAAAATAAACAGTGCAGGCAGAGGGCCAGGTCAAGGACCACCACCCTCCGGCTTCCATTGAACACCCCCCCCCCCCGTACACAGGTGTCAGACACAGCTCCTGAACGGTGATGGAGGACCAGGGAGGACAGATCAGATCCGCCTACCCTTGAGGCCACAACCTACAGGCCAAAACATCCCATTTGCCTCATCCATGTCTGTAAGGCCAACATCCGATTTGCCGCATCAATGTCTGTTTGCAACTCTGCCATAATCAAAGCCAATTTATACAGCCCAATGCTGAATGCCCAATGCATGCTCAATGCCCAATGCTCAAGAATCAATTTTCATGACGAGAAACAGCTTTCCATACAGAACAGAAGACTAACAATACTCTGTAGAAAGTGAGTACTACAGTACTAGTAGCTGAAGTAACAACAGCTTCGACCATAAATACAATGCAACAGTGTTCATAGCACAGTCATTGTCCGTAGCAAAATGCAAAGTGCACAAAAGCCTGAAAAGCATAAGAAGTGACGTGAAGTTAAAAATGACAAGTCAGTTGATCAAATAGTCGGCGTTAGAATCAGAGAATCAAAGAGCTGGTTTTTTTTTACGATAGTCAGCTTAAAAGACTTGATGAGGGCACAGTCAAGAACGTTAGTATCTACTGCTCACCAATTCGTGGACTCGCATAATTCAACTACCTACATACACTCAGCGACCCAACGCCAAAAAAAGCCAAACAGAAATCAAGATCAAGAAGAGTACATCTATGTTAGCGACAATCCCCACATACAGCAGGTTAGCAAATGAAAGAGAGAGAGAAAGAGAGAGAGAGAGAGAGAGAGAGAGAGAGAGAGAGAGAGAGAGAGAGAGAGAGAGAGAGAGAGAGAGAGAAAGAGAGAGAGAGATATATATAGAGAGAGAGAAAGAGAGATAGAGAGAGAGAGAGAGAGAGAGAGAGAGAGAGAGAGAGAGAGAGAGAGAGAGAGAGAGAGAGGGAGAGAAAGAGAGAGAGAGACAGAGAGAGAGAGACAGGGAAAAGACGCAGTGAAGCAAATCATCCACTGCTATACAAGTGCACCTGGATACGACGAGAGTGAACTGTTTCAATTTCTGAATATACGATGACGGCCAAAAATAGCCAGCATGACCTGCATATACGGCAGTCTTAGCAAATATCTCTTTAGTATATAAACAACGTCATAGTTCAAATCAATATTATTCGTCAAGAAATCAGCACATGTACGCATACGTATTCCAATACAATCAACACTTCAACACTAGTCCTGCTGTTCACTGTGGAGTGGTCATGCAGTGTAGATGTAGATCAAATGATGTCATTGTGCAAAGTGATGACCTAATTGTTCAAATCAACACTTCAACACTAGTCCTGCTGTTCACTGTCGAGTGGTCATGCAGTGTACATGTACATCAAATGACGTCATTGTGCAAAGTGATGACCTAATTGTTCAAATCAACACTTCAGCACCAGTCTTGCTGTACACTGGGGGTAGCAGCTCAAGTAGATCAGGCCGTGTTGATGCAGCTCAACTAGACCAGGTTGTGTTGATGCTAATAGGGCCTTGTACTGCAGCCACACTACACAATAGTACTGGTATGGGTCCTGTCTTGTCTTGGAGACATTGATATGATAGTCTGGTGGAAGTCACACTGCATCACGCCCGCAGTGCTGGACCGACACACTCCCTTTCTTGCACGTGTAATTGCCGAAGTGTATGAAGAATTGTGTGTGTGTGTGTGTGTGTGTGTGTGTGTGTGTGTGTGTGTGTGTGTGCGCGCGCACGCGAGTGTGTGTAGTGGTGGAAAATTGAGGTGGCAGATGTAACAACACGAAAGGGTGAAGGAAATGTGACACTTGAGTGGACCTGACGCGAGTCACTTCCACCGGACAGCCAGTGCTCAGCAGATGGGCACATTCTGATGATGTCAGTGCCTAGAAGCCACGATCCACTGATGATGTCAATGCCTAGAAGCCATGACTCACCGATGATGTCAACGCCTAGAAGCCATGACTCACCGATGATGTCAACGCCTAGAAGCCATGACTCACTGATGATGTCGACACAGTGGTGTAGATTCCAGTACACTGGTTCGTGGTATGCACTGGAGTACGCCATGCAGTGAGATGACACAGCCGTGCAGTGAGATGACATGGCCAGCGGATGCGCTCGACCCGACATGGACACCCTTACGGGTGAGCACATTCCCGTGCAGTGTTCCTGCTTGCCTTGCTTCCAGTTAGACAAGATGAGCAATAGAACAGTAACCGGTAGTACTGTGATGGACTGATCACTGCAGTGTACATGCGTACAGTACCGCCACGGCAACCAGGCATGGACGATCAGAGATGCCTGCGAAGCGGCACTCGGTCTTCAGTAGCGACGGACATCTTCGAAGATAACATCATCAGCAGGGCAAGAGTTCACGATGCGGAGAACTCCCCTCTTCCTTGAGCGATGGCGGGACGACGTTCATAGTGCCCGACACACCCGCCCCCGCCCCGGGCGATAGCTGGATGACTCGGCAGGGACCGGCGCTGCGGATGTGACACGGTCGACATTGGTAGTCGAGCAGTGTCAGACGTCAACGTTCCACTACCTTTGACCGTTGAAGAAGTTGTGCCCAGTGTTGCTCTCCTTGAAGACGACGCGCAGTCCGTTGTGCGTCACGTACGTTATCTGCACGGGGCTGGCCTCGTCGGCTGGCGGTACCCAACCTGGTGGTACCCAGCCTGTCCGGTTCATACCTCCTTTCTTGTTATCTACGGGTGCAGCGATGAGAGTGGCCAGCGTTCCACTGACAGGAGGTCTCGGGTCGGCAGCATCGATTTCCTCAAGGATATGTCCACTGCTGTCCAGGATCTGATGGCGGTGATTCGAGGTACCGACACGGTGGTCAGAGTGCGAGTTTGTTGTTGATTTCAGGGCTGATCGGGGAGAGAGCTTCGAAGCGGAGCTTGCCACTGCGGATGTCTTCGGAGGTCGTGTCGATGTTGAAGCAGCATCCGCCGACTGACCGGGAAGTCTGTTTTGCTGACTGGCATAGGCAGCAGTGAGAGCAGAAACTGATTTAGGAGAGGACGTAGCCTTGCTGGTCAGTTTCGATGCCGGCGAGTTGGACTGCGGCTTGGCCGTCGGGGTGACGGACTTTTTACTCGCCGTCGATGCGTCTTTCTTTTCCGGCGTCAGCGTCTTAGACGGCACGGAGGAGGAGGCTGCCCTAGCTGATGTGGACTGGTCCACAGTTGACGATGCCGATGACGCGGGCTGCGGAGATCCTCGTTCAGACATGGTCAGGTCTAGAAATGGAGAGGCAGGATCCGCCATGTCAAACGGCGGGTTGGAGACAGTGTGGCCAAACGTGGGACTGAGCGCCAGGACGGGATTGTCCTGCAGATCTGCAACGTCGCCAACCACTCGGTTGTCAAAGAAGTCCTCGGGCTCCATGGAGATATCCGCCGACGGCTCGTATCCCGTCTGCTTGAGCTTCAATGGCTCGAGCAAGTCAGCATCGTGCGACGGCGGCGGTAGACTGCCAGTGTTGGAGGCACGAGAAGATCGAGAAGACGCATAGCTGTTCGCCTTCGATTCCGGCTGCACTGCAACGTCATTCTTTGCGGACTCGTCAGGCTCGTACGAACTATCCGAGAAGGAGTCCGACGAGGAACTCGTTGACGATGAGTTGCTGTCGGAATCGACGCCAGCTGCCAGGTGCACGCGTCCGTCCGCCGTTATAGAACTTAGAGCGGCTGACGAGGACTGTGCGGAGGTGGAGAACGTGAGCGGCCGGGACAGAGCACGTCGCTGCTCCAGGCTGGCGCCGGACGCCATGCCGGACTTGCTGCCCGTCGCCGTGGCAACCAGGGCGCCGGACGATGATGCAGACTTGCTGGACTTCGGCCGCTTTCCCGCCGGCGTACCATCGAGCGACTTGGACTGCGCTCGCTTCTGCTGCTTTGCAACCTAGCACAGAACAGAAAGGGGACAGAATTCATTGCCGTATTTTTGATGTATTTCATTTATTTCTGCACTTCGCAGCATGTCAAGACAGCCAATTGAATTGAGGAGAGGGTGAGACCAACCACGGAAGAAGAGGAAAAAGAAAAGAAAGAAAAGCACGTACACAAAAGGGGTAGGGGTTAGTCATCTCACCCTTTGAGCCGATTGCGATAAAGAGGAGAAGGAAGAGAAGGAGGATGAGGATGAATAAAAGATAAGAGAACGAGAAAGTCCAGCAGGAGAAAAGACGAAAGGCGCACACATGATGACTGGGGATAGAAGTACTGTAATTTCGCAAAATTTCGGTGTACTTTTATTTTCGGTACTTTCGGTGCATCTGTTCCATACCTAAATGTTCAATACACCGAACAAACACTAACACACAAAATCAAATAGGGAGCTGCTTCTCTGTACCGAAAATTTCTATTCACCTAACCTGACCTGTTGCCCTCATACCGAAAATTTTGAGCACCGAAATTTTCTGAAATTAGAGTAAGCGAAAGAGGAGAGTTGCAGACCTGAACCACCTACAGTAAAACCTGTCAAGGCGACCACCCTGATAAGGAGACCACCCTGATAAGGAGACCACCCTGATAAGGAGACCACCTGCCCAAGAGGACCACTACAACAAGAACCAAAGGGATCTTATTTCCAGTAACCATGACCCTGGATTAGAAGACCACCTGCCCACAGCGACCACATTTGTAAGGTCCCTTGAGCGGTCGCCTTAGACAGGTTGCACTTTACAGTAAAACATGTGAAGGCGACCACCTGCCCAAGAGGACCACTACAACCAGACTAAGGAATGCCATTTCCAGTGAAATGACCCTGGATAAGGAGACCACCTGTACACAGCAATCACATGCGTAAAGCACCTTGAGAGCGGTCGGCTTAGACAGGTTTCACCGTATCAGATTAGCAAGTGGCGACACTTAGTTCGATGCACCGAACAATGCATTGGAATTCGCATGACCGAGCCGCAGTCAGCTCTCCAAAAGGTCTAGGTTTAAAGTAGGAATTCCATGACTAGGACATGGACACACTCGCAGCTCAGAATCTAACCACTTGACAAACTGCCACCCACAATATACACTGTGCGTGTGACTTCCCAGACCAAGCAGCAGGGTTTTGCAGACTAAACAGGAATTTAGCAGACAAAACAATGCGGTTTTGCAGACTACACGGAGGGATTTTGCAGACTAAACAACGGTGGCTCATCGGGCATATGACCCTGGACAAGGTGACCACCTGCACACAGCGACCACATTTGTAAGGTCCCTTGAGCGGTCGGCTTAGACAGGTTGCACTGTACCGGTATGAAGGCTGTAGTTGTGAAGTACAGTCAGACCTCGCTTATCCGGTCCTCTTTTATCCGGATCCCTTGCCATCCGGAAGAAAATCGTTGGTTGCCTAGTATTTATTAGTGTTGAAACGAGCGTATCTATAACAAACGAGCGATCAGTTCCACTAACGAGCAAGCTATCGAGCGAGCTAACGAGTTTCATTGACGTGGCAAATATGATTATATTTTTGAATATTTTTTTTGAGTTCGATTTTTTTCAGCTGGTTCAAATTACATGAATTATCACCGCCGGCATTTGGGGTTGCTGCTGCTTCACTTCGGACTGCTGTTTGGGGTCGAGATATCTTTTCAGCGCCGTCGTCGATTAGCCTTTGTAAGAATAGACCGTTTTGCAAAGATTGCAAGTAGCCCTGGTCTTCGCTGCATTGCGGGAGAAAACTTCCAAACGACTGAGCGTAACTTTCACTCGAATGGAGAGGTGACCGAAGCATATCCTGCGACAGGTCAGCAGATGCGGAACAAGACATCAGTAGAGTCCACCAAAGCTGCAACGACAACTGAAACAACTCAAGTGTCGTGCAGGCATACAGTCACCTGTAACTGCGAGTGATTTTCACTTTGCGCGGGACTGGACTCTCGATCGACCAGGGAGTCGTAAAATATTTTACGACTCCCCGGTCGACATGTACTGCCATGTGTGCGGAGTACGGTGTACGGTGTTCGTTAGTGCAAACGAGCTGGCCGCACAAACGAGCCGAGTTTCTGGCGAGCGAGCTAACGAGTATCCGGTGAGATCGTTTCAACACTAGTATTTATAGCATATGCCATGCTTACATACAGTACGATTATCCGGTTCGCTCGCCTATCTGGATATTTTTGTGGAAAACGGATGTGTGCGTTTAAGCGAGGTCTGACCGTACTTGTTTTGCACAATATCTGAAAGTCAACAACCAAAGTGATACTGTACTCTTGGTCACTTGATAATGGGACTTACCATTGACTTTAATGGTGCAATTCTGGACATGCAACTACCCGCCTCCCAAAAATAAGCACCTTGCTGTAGTAAGCGCCCCACCTCTAGATGGGCCAGAAAATTCTAACCGCCACGACTTTGATTCGCGAAAATACAGTAATCGAAAGAGCATTGGTTCTGGGTTGGCGTCAACAATTCTGGAAAAAAAGTCGAACCGTCACCTGCTGAACGGTCTTGTGTTCTGCGAAATCTTGCACTACGTAGACCAGCTGTCAGGTACAACCCATCACTGCCCAGGGCATCACGGGCTGCAACTGACATTATAGAGAAGCAGATCATCGCAGACCGTTGAGCAGGTGAACGCGGCACGGACACAGGTCTAGCTCCACAAGGATGCTCACCTTCTTCTTATCAGCACTGTCAGCGCCTTTCCCTGATGAGTAGCCTGAGCCACTTGGACTTTGCTCCCTAGGACCCAAGCAAACACAGCAACAGCAGCAACAGAAGCAGCAGCAGCAGCAACATCAGCAACAGAAGCAGCAGCAGCAAACCCATTAAGTGGACACTGATCTCGATACTAGTAGTTATCTTCGTCCACAACATCATCTGCCACAATACTTGATACTTGATATTTGAGCTCGATACGAGCAACAGGGGTGACATGGTGGATTGAGATCGATCTCGAGCGTGAGCTCAGCGCTTTTGCGCGTTCCCTGGCTTGCAGCGCTGGACCAGTGCATCCTGTGGCGCCGAGTGTGGGCTCATTGCGTTCGTCTCGTCAAGACCTTTCCAGGATGCCCAAGATCGTGGAAATCGTCAAATTCAAACCAAAGTTACGTCTAATTTTAGTTTCAGATTTTGTGGTTGCGTGGGCTTGAATACATTTTAATCGGACAGTAAAGGGTTAAATCAGTGTGACATCATCACCAATATAATTATGAAACAGTGTACGCCAGGAGTATGCAGTCAATGTCGACTTGATTTTTCGCTATTTTACCATTTTGACGTTTTGTTATCAATATTAGCAAGAGTACATGAAAACCAGAGTGTGCAGCTCGGATGGGTTGCTGTCACGGCGGAATTCCGTAATAACATCATTTTAGTGATGTAGTGTGTACAAGCAGGATTCAAGCAGGTCTCTTTCTGCACAACTGCAGCTCAGTTGTACGCACTACGCCATTTCCCGCCTCAGATCTGCGCCAAAAATGATGTAATCGCGGAATTCCGCCGTGACAGACACCCATAGTAGAAAAGGCTGCACACTCTGGGTTTCCTGTACTCTTGATATTAATGAGGTTACGCGCTACGTAATTACTTATGAAAATCCGTATGTCGTACGCGCCGGAGAGAGGGCAACTTTCATACGTAAATCTCTCTACGGATTTCCGTAGGAAAGCTCTTTCCTACGTTGGGTTCTCCGTAGGACTTTTGAAATATTTTTCACATTTTCCGGATTTGTCCATGGCAACGTTCAAGCCGCGCGAACCACAAGGTACACACACCGTACACGTGCAAAAT